GTGTTGTCCCGATTGTAATTGGAGCCCTCGGAGCAATACCCAAAGGGCTACCCCGCTATTTAGAAATTCTAAATTTGCCGGACTTGAACATTTTGACTCTACAAAAAACTACCTTACTCGGAACAGCTTACATCCTCCGACGATACCTTAACAGTTCCTAGGTCCTTGGTTAGGACTCGAGCTGCTGAGCTATTAATCAGCCTCAAAGGCTGTGAATCTCACTAAAGATTAACCAATAAATAATAATAATAATAATAATAATACTGGGATCTGCTCGCATAATCCGCCGATACATCACACAGTCCTAAACACTTGGGAAGTGTTCGATTAGTGATTTGGGATACGAAATCCAGCATGGTCATCTCGTTTGCTGTGTATACTGTCATAATAATAATATATTTAAGAAGATACTTGGCTGATACCTAGGATACTGGCAGCAACCCGTATCAACTATTAGCACCAGTCAATCGTATTTGTGACACATTTTTAAATGATCAGTTGACTGAGTTTCATGTTTAATGAATAAAAGAGATAATAATAATAATTAGCTATACAGATAGGCCTTGATTTAGGACCTCAATTGAGCCAGAAATTTCTGTTGTTAAGCAAGACAGTTGTTAAATGAGTTTTGCTCCTTTTTATGTCCTTTATGACAGTTGTTAAGTGAACCACTGCAGTTCTTAGGTTAGTAATATGGGTGTAAAGCGAATTGACCTTGCTTGCCAGAAGGTCTCAAGGTCCTGCAACATTACCGCAGGACACTGCAACCGTCATAAATATGAGCCAGTTGCTAAGTATCTGAATTTTGATCACGTGAACATGGGGATGCTGCAATGGCCATAAATTGCTTTTTTTCAGTGCCATTGTAACTTCGAATGGTCATTAAACAAATGGTTGTTAAGTCGAGGACAAATTTTGCTGAATTTCTGTTGGGTCATGCTTTACACAATGTTTCCTTTCCTGCTTCCATCTTTTCTACCAGCACTGTCCCACTTTGCTCCATAGCATTAAATAAAAATGAATAGAATATATGAAAAAGGATGGAGGGGCTTGGAGAAGAGTCACCAATACAATAAGGAAGCACAAGCCCCCCCCTTCCCTCAGATACACTTTTATCTCAATACTATAAAATATTTTTATTTATACTTAAGAATTGTGCCTCTCTTTAAGTAATTTCACTCATATTTCCTGAAATTCTTCAGGCTTCTTTTTCTATTTCAGATATTGATTTGGCAAGCAATAGAAGATAGCTTAATCTAACCAAGAGACAGAAACTTTTCCACTGAGTTCACATATATATTGGAAGATAATAGGGAGTACGGTGAAGAAAATTATAATATTAGACATGAGGTCTATGTTTTCCTTCGAACTAGCTCAGGAATGTTCCTAGCTAGAATATGAAACGGTCAAAGCCAATTACTTTTTTGGGGAAAGGGAGGTATTCCCTTTATTTCTGCTTGCCAGTTCTATATTTCTTGTCCCTATTACTATCAGTCCCCATCTAGTAACCCCCCCACCCCACCTATATTCCATTTCTCTGTCTTGACAGTTTGGGAAAATGCAAAATAATATTGTTGTTTGTTCTTTTTAACTGAAGGACAGCATATAGTGTCATATAGATGGAACAGGTAACTACAGCGTTCATTATAGGAAAAACAGTTTTAAGAGGAAGGCATTGCTTTCTGAAGTCCCTGATTATTTTCAGCATAAGAAGCAATCTGCCCTGCAATAAATCAATCTATTTTCACTTTAGCAATACAGATTAATTTAGTTTATCACGTTGTTATTATAAAATGTTACTAATAATGATGATAATAATAATTCCTCACTTGCAAAGGGCAGCTTTACTTGGAACAGCTTACATCCTGTAATGATATCTGTAACACCATCAAACATCCACATTTGTCTATCTTAGGTCCTTGAGAAGGATTCAATAGGCAGACAAAAATGCCAAGTCCAGTCTGAACATCTGGTTGACTGTGTGACCGTCACACAGACTCCTAAACAACTTAAAAATGATCTAGTAAAAAGAAAAGTCAACCAAAAGAGCAACATGCAAACAAAAGCAAACAAAACACCCCCTGGAGCAAAACAAATTAAAGTTTAATTTGTGTGTATTGTTTAATGGACTGCTAAATTGGCCATGCCCACCCAGTCACATGACCACCTAGCCACGCCCACCCAGCTGATCCAGCCCCCCCAGTAGTCTGAGGGACCGTGAATTGGCCCCCTGTTGAAAAAGTTTGACGACCCCTGGTGTGACGGATAATAATAATTCCTATAACTGTAGTTGGTCTTAATCGGGATTCTCTGACTGATTTTATACATTTATGTTGGGAATTGATTGTAGCTCTAAAATGAACGGGGTTTTTTCCCCAGGCTTTGTCCAAATAAATGATGAGTCTACAGCCTCTTCAAGAAGACTGCATTGATTTGTCCAGTTCTATTGATTTTCTCTGTATCAAATCTGAGCTGCCAACAAACTGAAGGGTCACTAATGTTATCTTTAATTGATCTATACTTTGCTTAGACATGTTTAAACAGTATTTTAGGTAAGATTCTGTTTTTTTAAAAAAAATATTTGACATTGTTACTATTACAAAATTTTCTTTGTGCTGTTAAAAAAATCTTAATTGGCAACTTCATTTACTGATTGATTGTTATCTATGCCTTTAATGTTATAAGCCACCCAGTATTTTAAATGCCCTCTAAATTCAACAAATAAATTATAATCTAGAATAGATCCACATAATTTCAATGTAGGGAAATGGAGGTATCCCATAGATAGTGAATATACTAAGCATATATCACGTGCATTTTACAGTACAGTTTAAACTTATATGCATATAAAAAGTTGCCTTTAGAATATGGGTAAATTAGATATTCCCAAATACCTTTTGAGTGACATTCCATGAAAGGGAAATATATTATCACTGGGTCAGAGCACACCCAGATATCCAAGGACAGAAGGAGAAAGAAGCAATGCTTGCCATTCTATCCAGTTGTCATCCACAGCACAGAAGGAATTTAGATGAGCTACTGAGCTAGTTTAAATTTACCAAGCTTTTGAGGATGCAGTAGCACGCCAAAAGAATTTAGAACTGAGAGGATTCTCAAACTCAGAAAAAAATGTTTTGGGGGATCACTGAGAAAATCAAAGAGGGAACATAATATTGTGGAAATCAGGGATTCTTGCCTCTAAAAAGGGGGGAGTGTGTGTGAGGACCAGAGGTGGTATTCAGCCGGTTCTGACTGGTTTTGGAGAACCAGTAGTGGAAATTTTGAGTAGTTTGGAGAACCAGCAAATACCACCTCTGACTGGCCCTGCCCCCATCTAGTCGCTGCCTCCCGAGTCCCAGCTAATCAGAGTCCCAACTGATCCCGTGTTGCCCTGCACACAGAGCTGGATAATGGGGTGGGGAGGGAATAGAGAATTTACAGTATCCTTCCCTTCCCCTGGAGTGGGCTGGGGTGGAAATGGAGATTTTACAGTATCCTTCCCCTGGAGTGGGGTGGGAATGGAGATTTTACAGTATCCTTCCCTTCCCCTGGAATGGGGTGGGGTGGAAATAGAGATTTTACAGTATCCTTTCCCTGGAGTAGGGTGAGAATGGAGATTTTGCAGTATCCTTCCTCTGCCATGCCCACCTTTCGATCAACAAGCTCAGTGTCTTAGCCACTGAGCCACCACGACCCCACCTAGTGGGTTAGTTACCACCAATATTGGCCACTCTAGATGAATTGTTTAGCTTTTAAAATTGATTTTCAGAATTTTTTAAAAAATAAATTGCAATACTTTCACTAACTTTAACGTAGAAAGCATGCACTAAGAAAGCCAGTTTCCAATGTGTACTAATTAAGAAACATTTTTTTTTTAAAAAAAAAAAAGTAAAACAGGAATGTAACCGACTCCGTCTTTACTGCAACTTTTATTTTTGGAAAGGGTCATTACTATCTAATCCCAGAGATACAAATATCCTTAAATTCTGAATTGTATATTATGTGGGACAGTAATCACTTTTCTTCTGGGAAAAGACTGAAATGACATAAAAAGGAACCACGCACATTCTTGGGGAGAAAAGCTGCAATTACTTCATTATTGTATAAAAACACTGAAAGGCTAGAGCAAGCTAGTTATGCACAAAACAGCTTGAATAAGAGCTGCAAACGTTGCTCCATTTCTCTGGATCCATGGAGATTTAATATTTTCTTTTCTCCTATAGAGCAGTAGAAATTCAGGAATTATAATTCATGTATAGAAGAGCATTAGCGCTCTTGTCTCCTCACACATGGCCAAATCATAGACTAACCACTGTCAGATTTAATAATTCTGACCTCCATTTTACAGCTGTACATGAATATAAGGTTACTAAAATCAATGAAAAAGTAGAATAATGCCGGGGGAATACACTCCATATATCATGTTAATTTTCCACCTACATTTCACAGATAGGCCAAAGACATAAATCTGTCTCTTTTACACACATATCACATCTTCCAAGGTTAGATAGATACAAAGAATTTCCCTGACATTTCCAATGCACTAATAATTTTTTTTTGCCTTGAATCACTATGACCTTATCTAATAATCTTCTCCTATTTACAGCAATCTAATTTTATTTGGCTTTAGTGATCACCACTTTTCCTTTTAAAGTGATCTGATTAAACTTCCACATATTTCAATTTTTTTCCAGCATACTGCCCACTACTTGCAAGTCTTGTTCCCATAGATTCAGATAGAATTAGATTAAACTGGACAATTTTCTTATGATGCATGACCAGTTTAAGACGTTGAAGCAGGCAGGCAGAATGGCGCCAGCCTAATTTTGATCCAGCTAGGGCATGAGTTTAACCTCTCTCTATCCTTGATATATAATAGAGATTTTTTTTAATAAATTGCAAAATCAGATCAGACTTTTCCTTATTTGAGAACAAGGCTCTGTTTATCCATAACTAACAAATTCAAAGATTTTGACTCCTTTTTTCCTCAGCGCACTTACCCTTCCAAATATCTAGACCAGATTAAATCACAGGCCTTTCTCTTTCCATGTTCAATGAGGCCAGCAGATAAAGTGATTTTGTGTCTTGTAATGTTATTTATTGACAAGATTTACCACAGTCTAGGGATATGGTTAATTTCTTCCCTGTACAGCAAAACGAAAAACAAAACAAAACAAAGCATTCTCAGTGGCTGAAATTAGTATTGCAGCAAACCAGCTTTCCACATTAACTTCTACAGTGCCTGTGATAAAGAAATTTTGCTTGAATGCATAATGATTGGGCAGCTTATTGGGATGTTTATTATCAGGACAACGATGGGAGATGTAACAAATTTCTTAGGTGTAAGGGTTGAGTGTACTTTTGATTGGCTGTAAAAGCAGGCTGTAATATATCACCAGGCTACTTTTGCTGACAGTTCGAGTCAGCAGAAGGTTCAAGGTTGACTCAGCCTTCCATCCTTCCAAGGTCGCTAAAATGAGGACTCAGATTGTTGGGGGCAATATGCTGACTCTATATTAAAAAAAATGCTTAGAGAAGGCTGTAAAGCCTGTGAAGCGGTCTATAAATCCAAGTGCTATTGCTATGTGGTTAATGTTGTTGCATGTGAACTTAGTAATTCATAGAGTTTATATAAGATATTTTCTCATTTTTCAGCTCTTCATGGCTTGCTTTGCACTAACTCTTTTTCCCTTCCAAGTTTCCTATGAAAAAGGTTCTTTAAAAAGTTAACCACAGTGATAAACTTTCTCTAAGGTCTCAACGTCTTTATATTAATATACCTGTAAGAAGTTTTCAGCTTGACCTATTGGCAGCTTTTTCCCAATTTTTTTTTCTCACAGAGAAGTTGTAATGGTGCCTAAAGCAGCAGCAAATCAGATAGTGAGAGAAAACAAGTTGCCTGTAAAAAAGGCTTGGAATTTTCTTTTGCTCCAACTCTGATTTATTCAAATCTCCATTTGTTTCATCACAGTGATGCTAGAAGAAGCTACTCTAAATGTCATGCACCGTATTATCTAATACTCCAAGACTCCCACAAATAATTTCACAGCATTTTTGTGCAGTTTTTGCTTTGTTTTCCAAATCAATGTCAATTTTCCACCATGTTTAGATTTCTGAAGATATCTAGGATTATATTAGGCCTCAAATTAACTTGATCTCAGAATTCCATCAACATTCATTACTGTAACTTTCACACTAAATGTAGCTATTAAGAAGACATCTGATTCCCTTGGCTTTTGGTAGCTCAGTTGGGTACAGAGACCCCAAAATTCCTGCTCAAACTGTCCCCAAATTTGTAGGTTCTCTCTGGTTAGGTAACTTGATGTTTAAGGAACAAATGTTCATAGCCCTAGCAATTACTACCTGCTTGATAACCTAGAATGTGCTGTTTCTTACAGATATTTGAAAAACTCAAACCCTGTTAATATTCACAATCAACATTCTCTCGTATGTTCTTCAAATGATGTCAACTTCCTGTGGATGCATAGAATATATAGATTTCTACAGGAGAAAAGCCCTCAAACATCTGGCTGCATGCAAGCAAGGTCCTGATAGAAGCAGGCTTACTGGTAAAGGTCATATGGTGAGTACTCCCAGTTCACTTAATGCCTGAATAAGGCTTCAGTCTTTGCCATTACTGATGCAGGTTGAATCCTGTTTCATTTATCCAGCTCTCCGGTGCATACTTGTTTTCCAAATGTTCAAACATAGCTCATCTAAAAATATAGTGTTGACAAGTATCTTTAGGAAATGTATTTCCTAAGATTTGTTGTTGTTGTTTTAGAAATGTGCATTTAAAATGAATGAAATCAATGAGGAAATTGGCTGGAACTGAAATATGTGTGAATGAATCATGCAACTCTAATGCAGCCGGCAATAGATAATTTCTCCAGCTCTTCTGAGGTCATTACAAGATCCGTTACATAAGTTGCCTATGTTTGGAATTCTCAGAGTTTGTAATACCATGACTCCTATACAATGATCAATGAATTTCTATGATCCCTCAATGAATAAAAGTAAATTTAGTTGGTTTAAGGTTGATAACAAATAAATATATATACCATTTACGTTCTCAGTATGTTAATTATCACAGGGGTCCCCACATTTTGCGGTACCTCAGCTGTTCACTGGGGTTTGTACTGCTAAATTGAGAGGCAAAGTTGAAACCATGCTCCACAGTCTGCCTCTGCAAGGTTGATCAAGATTATTGTGACCCCCACCTCCCTAAATTGCTTATGAATTCTTGGGATTGGGGAGGAGTGTCTCAACCTATAGCCAAGATGACGAACCTATGGCACGCGTGCCCAAAGTTGCATGCAAATCCATGTCGCCAGGCATGTGCGGCCTTGCCTGTTTGTCTTCTGGGTTTCTGGTTTGTATGCATGCGTGACAATCAGCTGCCCTTCATGCGCGTGGCAGTGCCAAAAATTGGTGTGTGCATGCATGCCGGCCAGCTGACCATCAGGTGCACATACATGCCAGAACCTGGAAGTTCAGCTTTTCCGGAGCATGAGCCCTTCGCATGTGAGGCAGTGCCAAAAACCAGCCTGTGCATGCACGCAGGTCAGTTGATTGTCGGGTGCACATGTGCGATAGAACCCAGAAGTTTGGCTTTTACGGAGCGTGACCCTGATGAGCTCGCGGGACATTTCCATGCAACCTTTTAGGCACTTGATGTCGAAAAGGTTTGCATCACTGACCTATAGTTTGAGTGGTCTATGACAACTCGCCACAGCCAACTCACCATAGCCAACTCATTGCAGCCAACTTATTGTGGCCAACTCTCCATAAGACTCGCCATGGCTAATTCGCCATGGGACAACTTGCCATGGGACCAAAGTTACACTAATATTGAAGAAATAGTCTAATAGAATCATGAAGAAAGGATGCCAAAGGAGGGACAAAATAAAGTGTGAATGACAAAAATTAAAATTATTTTTAAAATTATTTTAAATAATTAAATTTAATTGTTGAATTGTCTCGCAGTGAGTTGTCCAGTGAGGAGTTGGCCATGGAGATTTAGCTGTAGCAAGTTGGCTGCGACGAGTTGTCCCATTCCATAATTTGAGCACCCCTTCAGTAGGCTTTAAAGACTTTCATTGCTATTAGAAGTCCTTATCAGAGTCAGGTTCCCTCTTTTGCCAGAGTAGATTTTAAGAAAGAATGGGATAGAAGGGAGTATCAGCTTGTGTCTGAGACATTACTGCCATGTTAAGCCAACTATGAAATTGGCAGCTGATTGGAGAGCAAAGTTCAGTTCCTTGTTGCATGCAAGCTTCCTAATTATTAATTTCAATGGTTCTGCCATGTGCAAATCAGTGGTTATTAAACTATAGAAATATTATAAATTGATTATAGGCAGGATTTATACACAACCAAATATTAAGTAACTGATTAGGTCCCAATAATATGAACATATATTGAAGCTACTCTAGTTAGACAAATCTTTGGGGTTTCTATAAAATTCAATCTACTGGAAATTCCTTAGAACTTGTTCTGTCATTGTTAATGACTCCTGTATGTGCGAAAGCAGCAAACCATATTTTTAGCCAGTAAAAACAATTTTTTACAACATTGTATCCCCTCGGTAATATTTTCAATAGGGTTGCATCCTTAATACTGATTTAAATGTCATCATAATAGCTAGCAAAGTCAGTGATGGTTATATAAACTGATTCATTTTGACTAAATTTGCATAATGCATTTACGTTTAGTAAAAATGTCGGATTTGGAGCACTGACATATATAGGCATTGAAACAATATATATTTTACAAAAATCAAATTCCCAACCACCAGCCACAATGAAATATATATTGAATAAAATCAAATTCCCCAAAAGTAATAATCAATGACTATACAACTATTCTGTAAAATATCAACCATTTAACAAACAACCTCCATTCTCAAACCAGCAAAAACAGAAATGCAAAATACCAACATTTTCATCCAGAGAGTAACCCATCCTTTGTAAGCTGTTTGTATTATATCAGGGGTGGGCATCTATGGCACCTTTACATACTGTAGACTTCAACTCCCAGAATTCCATGCTAGCTCAGGAATTCTGGAAATTGAAGTCCACAGGTCATGAAGGTGCCATTCATCCTCCTCCCCCACCCCCGAATTATACTGTTCCTCTGACAAACAGAATTTCCCTCAAAATGTATTGGGATTTAGTTATAGTATGATTTCCATTACATCCATTTTCTTCCCTTCCACCTGGACACCACACTATATAGTGAAACTGATGTGGAAATAGCTTTCTCCAATTCTTATCCCAGGTCCCAGTACAGATATATTTCAGAAGGTCATTATTAGTGTTCATTATCTCATCATGGCCTTCCTCGGTGAAATATCTGTGGGCAAAAGTATTTTTATTACATCCATTCTGTCCTGTTTTTATTATATCTATTTATTCTCTGTTCACCTTCTTTCCCCATATACTTTTATTCCTGCAGTAAACTGCCTTTGGGATTTTTAAAATCAGAAGCAGAGTAGCAATTCTTTCATTTAAAAATAAATACCTCTGGAACAAATCCCCAAAATGTCCCATGGGAAAAGATGCAACAAAAGTCAGGTTTTCAAGTATTCACACCAGAACGAATCCTGAGATACAGTTGGGCACATATTTTTAAAAGGAATTTTTAGGTCTTCAATTCTGTTCATTTGCTCTATATTGTCTACCTTTTTTGGGGGGGGGGGTTGGCCAGAGTAACGCCAGCACTATGAAGATCTGAAATACGCCTTTCTGCTTACAAGGCACAAAAATCTCTGTGAGCTTACTCCAAAAGTTATTACATTCTGCCTGTAAGGAATTTCAGTGAAGCATTTATTCCTTTTTTTCCTTTCACACTCAATTGAATATCCTGGAAGGTGATTGGGACTCTGTTCCAATTGTCATTAAAATCAATAGGGGAAAAATCCCATCAATAGGAATGGTCTCCATTAGGAACCATGCCCCGTGTGAATTAGCTGATGTGCATAAGGATGTGTTTTGCAATTGAAATAGAGAGATTTTGGCTTT